CTGAGGACACATCCTGCAGACACCTTTTAGCCATGTGCCCAGGGTGAGGCAGGTCCATCCCTCTGGGAAATGGTTGGGACAGCAGCCTCTGCCTCCCTGGAGATGTGGCAAGGAGAAGAGCAGTATGTCAGCTAGACATAGGGATTTGTCCATAGGAAATAGACAGTCCTGGTGTGGGACCAGAGCTCCAGACTGTGCTGGAAACTGGAAAGGTCTCATCCTGCCCTGTCAGCCTGGGATGATCACTCTGCTCCAGCTGCTGTGCAGCTCACTCAGGCTATGCTGCAGCCTGCAAAGGAGGGTAAGACTTCAATCAGGTTATAAGTTCATTTCATCTTGATTATCTGACACAACTAGGACAGTGAAATTGGATCCTTTGGGGCACAGAAACCCTAATGGCCCCAGCCCAGGTCTGTAAAGCTGCAGAAATGTTCCTGCTCTCTCCGTGGCCTGGCAGTGCAGCAGCAACAAGTGGGTTTTGCTGTACATTAGCTGCTGTTCCTGGCAAGCCCTTTCACTGCTGGTTGTGCTTACGTGCCATAAACAGCCCCATAAAAATATATCATTATCTCAGTGGGGATGCTGCTGGGAGGGTGAGGCTACTGTGGAGTGCTGGGGAGCAGCCGGAGGATGGTGCTGTACCAGCTCACAGCTGCTCTTCCCTTTGTCTTTTGTCTTGTTTTTGAGACAAACAGCATCTGGCCCTGATTCAGCTACAGTGATTTTTTAAAGAAAAGCTTATAAGACTAAGAATATATTCCTTTCTTCCCCTTATTTCCACCCACTTTGTCCTCTGAAAACCCTCTCATTACAGTGCCAATGGCAAAACCTTCTCTTTTCTTTTACAATGATTGAATTAAAAATCTCTCTTGTCACCACAGAGCCAGGAGCTCCTTTCCATTTGGAAAATGACTGATGTGCTCTATTGCTTGTCTCCTCTTTTCCCATCCATTTGAGGAAACATTCTTTGTTATCACAAGGTTTCTCGTAATCATTTTTAGAGCTCCTTTTGTGCTCTTTTTTTTTTCACTGAGCCATTTAACAAATATTATGCAACAAATCCCAGAAGCTACTCAGAGTTACAAGCCAAACAGAGATGTGCTGGTGTACCTCTTTTTCTAGATTAAAATGTAATCATGCTCCTTGCTCAGGAAAAAAAGAAATCCAACCTGTTCAGCCTGGTGATCATTAATCTTCTTGGAAAATGATTGTGGATGTGATGAGGAAATCCCCACGAACATTTGTGATTGAATATTTGTACAAATATAAACACACACTTGTTTTCTGGGGTTCCCCCCCCCCCTTTTTTGGCTGAAAAGATAAAAGACATCCTCATTTCCCCCCCCAGGATAATTGTAGTTGCCAAGGGATGGTGCAAAAGGGAAGGAGTGAAACTTCAGGTTTACTACATGATAAGCCAAACAAACTCATGATTGCCAAAACATTGAAGTGAACAGAACTGCAAACACCCCTGTGAGGTTTTAAGCACTTCACTGACAAGCTCTGAGCAGCAGAAGGACAGTTGAGTTTAGAGACACTTGTTTGTTTTGGCTCTGGTTATCTGAAAACATCTTTAGGGTTTAGAATCACAATTTAGGACTTTTTCCCTAGTTTTGATGAGATTCTGTTAATAAAAAAACAAACCCCAACCAACAAACAACACCACCCAAACACAACTTGTGGCAATGCTGAGTATGCCATGAGCTTCCCCAGTGCAAGTGGAAAAAAACTCCTTGGACATTTGCTTTGCTCTCGGCACTCACAGGGAGTACATTGCCCCTGCACGATGGATTTGTGCAGAGCATCCCTTCTAAAGGCACAGACAGGTTATTTTCACGGGTGCTTGGCATGGCTCAGCACCCACCACACTCCCCAGAGGGTCACCATGTCCCCCCATCCCAGTGCCAGAAGCTCCCACTTACCAGCAGCAAGGTGCCCCGGCCTGGCCGGGGGCAGCCCTGGGCAGTGGGTGGCAGTGGGCAGCGCTGGCTCAGCCACTCCATCCTCCCAGTCTGCATCCCCTCCGTGCCTCCACCTGCTCTGCCCGAGCTGGGGAGGCTGCCTGGGCAGGCTGCCCGCAGCCAGCACTAACTCCTCCTCCTCTTCCTCTCTGCAGGCTGGTACCCGCCTGCCTGCCCAGTGTGTGATCGAGGAGTACACAGTGTCCCCACGTGTCTTGCCCCCCCTGCATCCCCACGGGTCCTTCCCTGACACCCCCAGCCCTGGCATCCCTCTCTCTGCACCTGCAGAGCTGGGGGGGACAGAGAGCACCTGCAAAAGTGGGGTCAAAACCATAGCAGGGAATAAACAAACACCTGAGTAGTATCACTGCTGTTATCAAACCACCTGCACTAACATCTGCTGGGGAAATCTGCAGTGCAATCACTGATGTCCTCCCAGAGCCATCCCTGGTGCTCTGAGACACTTGCTGATGCCAGTGGTCACATTTGCTTTGATTTTCCCTGCTACAAACCAGCTTTTTTTCTCAGGTTTAATATCATTACGGCTCTGTGGTCTTTGGATAGAAATCACCAGGAAACTGCTGAGTCCTGATGTGTTGTTTGTGGCTAAAACCTCCTGTAAACAGCACAGCACTGAAGAACTGAGTGCTGCGTTCTCTTTCATGCCATAACTTTATTGTGTTCCTGTTGTAACTTTATTGTGCTCCTGCTAGTTCCTATAAGCTGTTAGGAGAACACATTCCTTGTCAGATCATGGAACAGCAGCCCAACCCTGGGTTTAGCTGAGGGGCTCAACCTGCCCCTCTGTGCACTGTCTGGTGGGCACTGGAAGAAGCTGATGACACTGCCCAGGGAGCTGCCAGGCAGATTCCAGGCAAACACCAGGACAGGGCTAGCTCTCCTCACTCTCCTGTTTTGGGATCCTTTGGGAAGCATGTTCTCCACTGCCCTGGGAGCAAATGGGAGGCTGGGACACTTAGTTCCTATAAGCTGTTAGGAGAACACATTCCTTGTCAGATCATGGAACAGCAGCCCAACCCTGGGTTTAGCTGAGGGGCTCAACCTGCCCCTCTGTGCACTGTCTGGTGGGCACTGGAAGAAGCTGATGACACTGCCCAGGGAGCTGCCAGGCAGATTCCAGGCAAACACCAGGACAGGGCTAGCTCTCCTCACTCTCCTGTTTTGGGATCCTTTGGGAAGCATGTTCTCCACTGCCCTGGGAGCAAATGGGAGGATGTTCTGGGACACTGCCCAGGGAGCTGCCAGGTTGGCTCTGGGCAAACACTGGGACAGGGCTGGCTCTCCACTCTCCTGGAGAGGAATCTGTTTTGGGATCCACCAGGTTGGCTCTGGGCAAACACCGGGACAGGGCTGGCTCTCCACTCTCCTGTGGTGTATCTGTTTTGGGATCCTTTGGGAAGCATGTTCTCCACTGCCCTGGGAAGAACTGGGGGACTATTCGCGGGGCATGTTACCCACCGCCCTGGGGACCGCCAGGCAGACTCCAGGCGAACACCCCGACGGGGCTGTCACTCCGCACTCTGCTGGGAGGAACAGCAGTTTCCCGTCCCTCCCCTCGTCCCTCCCCGTTCCCCTCAGCGATCCCACTCCGGACGGGCCACGCCCCCTCCCCAGGCCCCGCCCCTAGCATCGCCC